AAGGTGCAGGTCTGCTGAAAAGCAAGCCGGTCTGTATGCTTTCCACGCTCAAGTACACAGACATGGTGGACCTTGCACCTCTCAGAGTGCAACAACCACTGATCGGCCCTCTGGGTACTTAGCTCAGTTGGTATAGTGACTTGTGGGTTTGCCGGTGAGCATTGAGGACCCTACGAGGTTTAATCTTTCCCCAGTTCTCCTCCCTTCACCCTTCTCTTTTCTACCCCCCTCCTCCTCGCCCTCCCCTTCCCCTCYTCTCCCACCCTTTCCCTCCTTCCTCCCCTTGTGCAGAACTACTAAATGCATACGGATAAGAATCACTAACCAACAAAATGTAAGGTGCAGGTCTGCTGAAAAGCAAGCCGGTCTGTATGCTTTCCACGCTCAAGTACACAGACATGGTGGACCTTGCACCTCTCAGAGTGCAACAATGAAACGGCCATTTCAAACACTACGATTATCAAAATATTACAATCATTTGCGACACCATATATAACTCGACAGAACATTGTAGGGTAACACACATCATACCCTCCAGTAAGAAGCATGACCCTCGTCAGCTATATCCCACATGCTGATGTGAAAGCGCAGTTCAGGCAGGAGTAGGGAATGCACTTGCTAGATAGACATTTGGCTAAATGGAAGTACAATACAGAGCCAGTGGCATGGCAATGTCTCATCTGACAACCGTCGTTCATGGAATTCTATGAAAATGCAAGTTGGTAATTTCCATGAAGCCCCTGTGTATTCATGCTGCAGTCACTTGACTGACTCATCCTGGTTGGAATTCAATGAGTACCTGAAACACATACACAGGGGTAGATCGCCTTCGTTGCTTTTGGCATACCGTGCCCATCAAAAGGTTTGATTACCTTGTCTTTCCTCTCTGTCTGCCGCAGCGTCAATACTGTTAATGATAATTCCTCGACCTTCTCCTGCCCCTTCTCCCCTTGCACTTGCTGAAACATCCATATTCACACCATCCTCTGACTTATCAGGCCCGCACATTTCTCCATCGTCCACCCCCGATAGGCGATCTCCACTGATCTTTCCTTCGTGCTCCCAATGACATGCCGCACCTAGATTCTTCCTCTCCTCAACTTGCATAGTCCATTTCTCTTTCCCTTTGTCCACCCATTTCAGGGTCCCACATGGCTTATGCTGCCCCCTGACACTGAAGACCCCATCTTTGTCTCGCTCTTCTTCTGCAAGGACATTTATTGCACCATTCCCCTCGATCACCCAATCCCTCAGTTGACTTCCATTCTCACTACGGCCATTTTCCCATCGCATGCTCCCACCCTCCCAGGAGTAACTCTCTCCCTTCTCTCCCAGCCACAGACGCCGAAGTGTGGCATCACAGTCGTCTTTTTCTTTGTCATCACCAGTCTCATCCATCTCCTGCTTCAGCATTATTTTCCTTCCTTTTTTCACAACCCCACCTGACCTGTGAGAGAAACGATCCAAAAAGTCATGTTCAATTGGCAACCAATGACTATGATGCTTGTTACTCAGATCCACTGACTCTCCTCCTTTGCCCAAGTTAGCAGGGGAACAACTCTTGACCTCATTTTCTGCCCCTGAGCGCCCGGAGATCTCTACCTCCTGCCTTATGTCCACTGAAACCTCACTATTCTCGCAAAGCTCATCTGCTCTTTCACTCCCTCCTGTCCTCGATGCAGTGTTCCCTGCCAGCTGGCTGCAGCATTCACCATCTTTTGCTGCAGAAGCCCATGTCACCTGTCCACTAACATCCTGTTGCACGTTATAATCATTTTTTATCAATGGATTCCCTGAGCATTTCCAGTCATCACCAGCTACTGTGGACAGATCCCTGTGCAGGGTTCTCAGACAGTTCCCGTTCTTCATTCTGCCATGGTCCAGACCCTGCAAGTTGTTGTCCTCTCTCTCCCAATCTCCATAATATCCTGCTTCTTCTGTCTCATGCCCACACTTTAGCACATCACAATCATTTACCTCACCTTCGCTCTTCATATCCAGATCGCTTGCATATCCTCTGATCTCCTCTTCATCCTTCTCCTCTTCTTCTTCCTCTATTACCTCCCGCTTGCATATTCCCATGTCTTTCACATCCTTTTCCCAATCCCCTTCCCCTTGTACCAAGCCTTGACTTCCGCTGATTCTGATACCATGGACGCCCCTGTCGGAATCTGGAGCTGTTGACTCATCAACGTGACAACCTGTACATCCGCTCATAATTGGCCTCACAATTCCTTCCCTATTCATTTCCACCTCTTCCTCCCCCTCCCCATCCTCTGCCTCTTTCTTTCGCTCGCTTCTATCAATTTTGGTGTTACCCCAACTTTCCTGCCGCTTGACATGCACTGAAGTAACACCCCACCCTACTTGAACGCCCTTGCCCATACCAATCTCCGTCTCTATGGCGTCCTCTCCTTCCCTGCACATGTGATTACAATTATTTACATCATTACAATCTCTATTCACATTTGCTGTCTGTTGTTGTCCTTTCCTGGGTTCGAACTCCTCCCTATCACCAGCTCCGAACTTCCTGGTATACCCCGTCAATGATCTTCTTTTCCTCTTTGGTGGGGTGCGCATCTCAAACTCCTCTTGCTCACTGCAGTGTCTCTCAATTCCAGCACCATCCTGCATCCAGTCCATGCAGCAAAAATGAATGACTCTCTCTTTATCTCTATACGCACAAGTAGACATACATACATCTATTGTCACATAGAGGCCAGGCACAGGTGCATCTGGAAAAAGTAGCAGAACTGCACAGGCCCCAGCACAAGCGCTGGGGGGGACGCGAGCCTTGGCCCTAGGGCTGCATGAACCTTCGGCAGCCTTAGGACCGTGGTTCCTTTCCCAGCCCTTGGTTCTTTTCATTCACACAGCATGGTCAGTTTTCTGAGCTTAGCTTTGTTTCTCAGATTTTGATTTGTTCCTGTTATTTTCTGTTCTGAGATAGTGTTGTTTCAAATTTCCTGGATCTGAACAGGCACAAATGCCTGTTTTTGGACCACAGGATGGTCTACAGGATTCATAAAAACAACGGGTCGTCTTCCTAACAATCTCTGGTAGGCTCGTCCACATATTTTGGTAGTTTGGAGGTCAGGAGACTTTTGCCCGCATTTGGCTACTAGACCTTTGTTCATCCGGTAAGGTATGGTCCAGCCCTTGTTTTTCCCAGGCCAGCCTTGACATGCCTTCTGCATTAGCATTTAAGGGCCCAAGCCGGTATGAAATGGTTTCACTCAGTTCGCTCAACATTGCAGATCCCAGGGCTCGATCCCTCCATACGCCTGTACAGTTACCCATTGATCCTATGTGTGCCTCCAAGCCACAACCTCTCCCTCAACTCGTGTACAAATGTTTTGCGTATATAGTCTGGGTTGCAAGGAATATGAGTGAGAACGATATACAGAAAGCCAAGTTGCGAAATCACACAGATGTCCAAGTAGTCGTGTACCAAGCAGAGAGCATAAATGCGCCAAGATTCCATCCAATTAAAGAGCATTACAATGAACTCATGAGCGAATGTTCAATCCCTTAGGCCACACCAATGCAGTATCCAATGTCGCTCCTACTGTATGGCGCCAAGTGCCCTTCCTACTACAGCCACATTCACACAACAGGCTCACTTCGACTTTGAAGACCAATGTGACGAGTGTGAGGCTGAGGGAAAACAGGAAGAGCCGAGGGGGAGGAGAGAGAGAGGGAGAGAGTGAGAGCACACACACACACTCACTCACTCGACACGATCGAGGGTCGGACACAGACACAATGGCAAAGACACAAAGTCAGAGTCTTGATTCCAAATGCTGAAACAGGAGCAAGTCACACTGAGTACGAGCACAGAAGCTGAAAACTGGTGCGAGACTGGTCCCCGTACCGTACGGGGAGCCGGTATAAGTACCTGGTGACACGTACGGTACGAGGGGCATTTCTACAAAGGCCCCGAGGGCAGAACTGAAAAATGCGGTATTTGAAAGTGGCGCCAGAATTGCAGCATGGCGCCAGTTGTCCAAAATCCTACGGTACCAAAGGAGGGGTTTGGAAAAAGGGTGCCAGGCCGAAAACGGGATGGAGCCGAAACAGCAAAAAGATAGACCAGGGATCGAGCCCTGGCGGAGTCTGAAACACTATCCCCTCCCTCTAGAAGGCAACGTCCCGGCTGCCAAAAATCATGAAGCAATGCTGAAATCTGTGAAGGACGGGACGGGGCCGATCACTGGTTAACAAGTCGAAAGGGAAGAGGGGTATAATGTGGGTGGCATGGGCTGCAGGAGTAAGAGGGAACAGGGTTTGGTACCGGTGAACAGAGTTGTCCTGCTGATGAACTAGGGGGGGCTGCAGGGAACAGGGTAGTCCTACAAATGAACTAAAGGGACGGCAGGGAGCAGGGTAGCCCTACTGATGAATAAGGGGAGTGCATGGTTTGCTATAGGTTAAGGGGGAACAGAGTTCAGGGAACAGGGAACTTCTATTGGAGTTCTACTGGGTAAGGGAAACGGTGTTGAGGAGAACATGGTATTTCTATTGATGTTGTAGTGGGTAAGGGAAACAATGGTCAGGGGAACAGGGGATATCTATTGATGTTCTAATGGGTACGGGGAACAATGGTTAGGGAAACAGGGATCTGCTACTGATGTTCTACAGGGTTGTCAAAGTCGGGAAAAAAAATGAAAATGTTTGTTCAGGATGCAAGGGCTGGTGTGTCCGAAGGAGTCGGAAGCAGAATCTCATGTAGGAACAAAGTGTCCAAGTGTCTTGAAAGGGGGTCTGCAGCGGTCTTGATCAGGTCTTTGGAGTAGGTGGTAGAAGCGGTCGTCAGCGGCTGCGACAGGTAGAAGTCGAAGAAGCGTAGTAGTAGTTCAAGTGTCGAAGTCCAAGTGCTAGGGTGCGCCCGGTACACGAACTGCAATGAGGTCTGATCTGGAAGCAAGGAAGTTGCAGACTGATGCAAAGATCCATGTCACAAGTTGCTGCTTCAGTAAGTCCGCGAGTCGGGATGCCGGCCGATGAAACAGCATGGTGGCCAAACCAGCTGCATAATCTCCATGAACGGTGAGGCAGCGGGCCATTGTCCTCATGCGCTTGCCATTAGATCCTTTATCGCTGACGTCACGCAGGTCCACAAGCATTGGACAAGAGAGACAAGGTAGTGGAGAGGACAGATGGGACAAGGCTAGGCGAGGCAAGGGCAGATCAGACATCAAGAATGAGGGTCAAGGGGAGGGTGGACTGGGTTCAAGGGTGTGTGTAGAGCGGGGTTGCGAGGTTGTAGCAGGGTTTATACAGGGGTTTAGGGTTGAGAGTAGAAGAGCAGGTGCCAGTGGGATGCTCGACCGACGGGATAGCATCCGATGGCAAGCGGAGTAGACTGCGTCGCCCGGGGGTCGTCCGATGGGATGTGCGTGTCATGATTCTGGTTGTTTGTTGCCTGAAGGCCAACACTCATTCACATAGACTTCCAGGTATGCCCATACATACACAAAAGGAAGGGGAGAGGATAGAGTATCACACAGCACAGGGAGAGAGAACACAGCGAAAGACTGGACCATGCGATATGACAGCGTACACTGAAAGTGCAATTCACTCCACTCAATCCTCACAACCAGTCATAGAGAAAAGTCGAGCAGATCACATCCGGGAAACAATGAAACGATGATAGTCCAAACCTAGTTATACACTGTTTATTAAACTCAAAGTCTCGAATTGTCAGGATAACTTCAGAACTACAGTGCGCTGCTCAGAAATGAGCAGCACTTCACTCCCCAACCCTGATTAACACCCGTAACGCCCCTGAGCCCCTGAAACATCGAGCGCCACCCAAATACAGCCTCCTGAGGGAAGCGCCACCCTGAAACAGGCCTCTGAGGTCAAGTGCCACTCAGAGGATGAAGAAGAAGACCAGCGCCACAGTATTTGATGATGAAGAAGTGTCGAAAGACTTCCCAGGTGGAAGCAGCAGCGCCACCAAATCCTGACAAGATGAGCTCCGAGGAAGAAAGCTGCAGCTATGGCTGCAGCGCCAACACCCTGGAGCCCCACTCCGGAGGGTCCAGCAGGGCACCAATCTCTCTCGCCTCCAGCAGACCTCGATAACCAGACCTCTGTCAGCCCCTGCGTGCTGGCAGAGTACAACGCAGGTCCCAGCTATGGCCGACGCTTCGAAGGTCAAGCTATGCCTGTCTCCTTCCACGCTGAGCCGTCACCACTTCTGGTTCACGCATAGCACAACAGCGATGTACTCGGTACCAACTGCCAAAAGCCCTGAACCGATGTGCCCATCCTATCTATATCCTACCACTAGCCTAACCTAGACCAGACTGACTGACTGACCGGTATCGTTTCTGTTTCGGCCTCTCGGCCTCTACCGGACACGGCTATAGGCTATAGGACCGTCTATCAGAATAGGCCCTTAGGGCCTGTCTGTCCTAGGGGTAGCCCGGGCCTGCTATTCGTAGTTAGGGTAGCTGTAGGGAACTCGGTTAGTACAGGGCCTGCATATTTTCCCGAATTTGCAGATATGTCCCTCACGAATTTCCCTCACAGGTAGGTCTCTCGGTTAGCCCTCAGCCAAACAAAATTGCGAATTTGTCCTACCTATAGTACAGCCTCGACAGAGAGAGGCTACTGGCGACCAGAAAACAGCAAGTCATTGCGGACCTACCCTCCCCCAGAGCGAGGACCTTCGAGCTAGGGGCGTAGGCGTGCAGAGCGCCGAAGGGATTCCCCCTTTCTGTGCTGCCTCATATTTGAGGATTACAGACTTGGCCGTCTTCATAAGTTCCTTGCGAGTAAACCAGCGGTCCTCCTCAATATGTGGCTGGTATAAGAACTTCACAAGGTACTCCTTGTCTGGACCTGTACCTAACTCATCCTCCACAGTCTCGACCTCATACCCTTTGCTAGGGATAGGGGGACCGAACTGAGGAGGCCTGTCTGGGAATGCATCAGCTGGCGTAAACGGCAGCAGCTTAGATGCATGGAAGACAAGGTAGGTTTGTAGATGCAGAGGGACATCCACTGTATAGGATGGTCCAAATGGATCAGCTCCCACTGTATCTAAGACCTACCATGCACCCATATATCGTGGCAGCAACTTAGGCGAAATATCCTCCTCTCGCGACAACTCAGAACTGAGTACCCACACCCAGTCACCTGTGCGAATAGTAGAAGGACGCCTGTGCTTATTAGCCTATTGAATCATAGCCTTTCGGGCTTTCAACAGGTTAGCACGAGTGCGCTCTATGTCCACACGGTAACGCCTGGTGAACTCTGCAGTTCCAGGTGTCAGCGTAGGGGTAGCCTTGTCGATGATGTCATCGAGAGGCTGTTGTGGTTCACGACCCCAGTGCAGCCCGTAGGGTGTGAAGTCAGTAGAGGAGTGTACAGACGTGTTGTACACAAGCTGTGCACAACTCAAATGGAGATCCCTGTCCTGTGATCAGTCCCAGTCCTGCTGATCTGGACTGATCACAGGACACAATCGCTGGAAAAGAATCTGGTTCATCACTTCAGCCTGACCATTGGCTTCAGGATGACGACCAAATTTCATATCCAGGCGGCCAATAAGACACTAACCCCACCCCCGCGTCCGGGGGGACGCGTGGATGAGCGCATACATAAATAAAAGACGG